ACAAGTTTATCTGTGAAAAAATGCACATTCAGAGCGGAATGGATGTAAGCCGAAAAGTGCCAGTGAATTCCCGAAAAGTGGAGTATTAATGTGAAATGCCTACATAACCGCCCAGCTGAGTTCAGAGTAGAAAATATGTCACTGCTTTGCTTCTTTGTGATATGTACCTCGTTTACACAATCCTTCGTCGTAACACACACACAGGAAATATACTGCAAAGTGACAGCGGCGGTGCCATTGAACCTTTTCTATTATTCGACATTCAGTATTAAAACAACCGTGGGTATAATGTTTTATGGACCTCTACCTAAAACCCGATGGAGCGCACAGTGCAGAGTTATCATCGCTTGTAGGATCATAGATAACTGTGACTCATTCATATCACCATCTGTCTTATTCACTGAATTGTAAGTGTTCGCAAAGATGTAACCAGTCTGTGAAAAGATGTAACGGGTTGAGTAATAAATACAAGAACCTTTTCGATGAAACTGAGTAGCGAAGGTAGAAGCCACAGGTAACAGATTGTTGTCATTGTCATAGTGGATTGAATGTATTATTCAGACGGGGAATGACAAAGAAAAATATAATTTTTCTTACATGAGGTATAGGTTCAAATTTAATCTTACCATTCAGATGAAATACTGTTACTTCGTTCATCATTGCTACCGTTGTTGACTATCTTGTCAAGCGTGCATTTCAATGTCAGAAATACGTAAGCAATCGCATCTGATTCAAAGGAACCGGTTTTATTCAAGAGAATCTCGGCCTCAATGGAATTTACTCATTGGCTTATTGGGGGCTTACACTGACTCCACTCATGCTATGAATCATACTCGCATTCACGTCTGGGCATGGTGACCGACTTATCGATATATCTTGATGTGATTCGCTTCCTTACCAGACCGACAAAGGACAATTAATTCCCGGTTCGTTCATTCGTATCTATGACGCACACACGATCAACAATCACGTACATAATGTTCCCGGGTGTAACGTGTGTGTGGGATGGGGGGAGGGAGAGCGGGAGGACCGCCCACCTCACCCCACCGAAATATTCATTCTCGCTTGCTAAGTCACTCATAAAATACTTTTGTTTGTTTACGGAGAAGTCCGTTCATTCGGACTGAACGGGGTTTGGAAAGACCCGGTCCAATTGGTGAAATTTGACGGTTGAAACACCAATCATCTTGTGGGGTTTCCAATGGAATGCGATTGGTTGGATTTACTTGAAGTTACGGCGGATTCAGTTGAGGTCGAATAGGTATATTTCACCAACCACGTTAGAATACGTTCAAGAATGCTTTGTGATAATGGACTACTGGTTCTGCCTGTGTATTTGTCCACACAAAATTGGTTCATCCATCCATCATTGCTATTGGGATTCTCTTACATTGTCTTGATATCAACATTAAGGGTTTTCGTCCATTCAGTTACATACCATGTGCTGCTATGGCTGAACAAATTAAAAGCAAATCTTTCATCAACTTTGTGTGTTTGAAAACGCCTTATAAGTAGTGACTTATATTGAATATTTGTGCAACAAGTTCCATTTAACATTTTCATGGGAGCATGAACAAGCATCATGATCACAGAACGAGTTGAATTCAACTAATTTGTGTTACTCTCATTAAATAGATACATCCATTCAGATCAGATTGTTTTGAATAATTTCGTAACTTCATCGTAGTATCGTCGGAATAGCGAACAGAAGTAAGAGAAACGTTTCCGTGGGTTTGCGCACGCAAAATATCAGAGAGGCTGAAGAATGGCAAATTTGTTTATGAGTATAGAATTAGAAAAACCGCGGATCTAAAAGGATTGCCCTTTCAGACTAAAAATCATTCATTTTTGGTCTTTATGTTTTCGAGACGATAATTTGTACCTCAGGCCAAAAGAAAACATTGGTCAGTTCTTTTCTTGCATATTGAGAACAACCAACGTTGTGTTGTTCATTTCGCATTTTGCGAATGAGATGTTTTGCTTAGCAAACGTTCTAGTTTCAGAGTTCAAAACCCTCATCATGAATGTTCGGAAACCCACAGTGAATGATCACTTTATTCTCGGATGTTCGGTTTCAATTTGTCAACTGACATTGTGTATGACCTTCGGTATTGGGGTCTCGGTTTAACTTTCCAAACCATTGTTTTTACCCCAGGTGTTAAATTGCGATTAGCCAGCAATTTTGTATATGTATAGTAACACACTAATCACATTTTTGTGCACGAGCACTGTGGAATAACTGGATACCCTCGGGGATTAAGCAGAACTGAATGCTAATAGGTGCGTCTTCGGATGGTGGATAGAAGGGTACCTTCACCGAAGAAGGTTAACTGTGAATAATTTGTGGCCTACCAAGGACAAGCAGTGGCGGCACTATCAGGGTGTGATGGGTTTCAGGCTGGTCACCTGGCTCCCGTTTAAAAGCCGCATAAGCCCAATGACGATGTCGGGACAAAGGTCGATGTGACTGGCCGTTGAAAACTGAAGCCATTGACCTCTTCACTTCCGAGGCGAGGGATTACTTCGTGTTGCCTTGCAGTTCACAATTGTGAAGTTGTGCGAAGGCCAGAGGTGCTCCCTCAAAATAGAAAAAAAACGCCGACTGACGCTGGGGACGTACCTCGTACCAAACGACCAGGTAACTTCATGATCATAATCGTGTCTGAAGCCGGCTTGTCCTTTCCAAGGAGCTAGTCGCATTAAAGGAAAGTAAAGTAGGGTTAGTAAATTGCCTAATAATTTGAAACCGTGATAAAGTTGTGAGTGCACGAATTTTTAAGCAGCGCTTTGAAGGTTTCGCGGATTACCCATATGGGGCCGATTTGTTCATCAACGGAAATCGTGTTCATATGTAGGGACGTTTACTTTCATTGATCAGGAATAAATGAACATGTAATATGAACGGTGGAGTATTGAAGAATAATCGCTCTGGAGAACTCCGGGATTCGTCATAAAAAACATTATATTGTTCATTGCGCAAGACATACAACATAATTGTCCCAACCCAACGGTAATACGTGTTTCCCAAAACCATTTTTCTAGTTTTGCTCAAACAATAGAACAATACTTCGATACAACTCGGGTCGCACACGTGTGAACCATTGGTTTGAACTTCAGTGATGTATGCGGAAGAAGAAGTACTCATTCCTAATGAATTTTGTATTTTTGTTTCTTCTCATGCAATACACAATGATACGATCTTCAGAAGAAGGAAGTGACCAATGAAAAAGGGCTATTGTATAATACACAATTGGGGAACGTAAGACGGTGGTGTTGGTGGGATTTGAATACACACATCCCCGCGGGTTTATAATTTGATAACTTTAACAACGGGCCACCACCGCCCGGTTATTCGTTTCTATTTTGAGCGAGGAATTTCAATGGGATGCCAGGTGTCACTTGACGTCTAACATATATAGCGTGTGCAGTAGACCGATTGCAATAAATTGACTGCATTAATTTTCTGTGATAAATTTTCACATCCAAAGACAGCGGCTCAGCGACAATGCGACTGCCAGGATTCTTCCATCACTCCACTCGCTGCGTTTAGTGAGGATTGTCTACAATGTCATCTTAGTTGTGTAAAGGTAATAGTGAATTTTTCTCTGCCAGTCACCTAGCATACAAATTACCAATTTACACTCAGAATGACACCCAAGATTTTGCTTCAAGCAAGAGTGTATCACTCGCGATGTTTGGTGAATGGAAATCATGATGTGTTCAAATATTCGATAACACGATGAAACTATTTGTGATGACTGACAAACAGTGAACTGGATAGCTGTTTCGTCCTGTTTAGGATTGGTCAGCAGTGCTTTGTTTGTTTCTCTGTCAGGACTCGAACCGCAACCCTTGGAATCGGGACTTCAAAACCGTACCTATGAGCTACACGGTCATTACCCTGTGCGAATGGCTTAATCATCTGAAAGTAACATAACGATTAAGAGTTCCTGATGCCTCTGAACAGTGCAGTGGACTAATCCAAACATTCGATACAACTGCTGTGTCTGATGTGTCAATTTCAGCGATTCGTTTTGCACAGTTGCGTTGATGACCATAGGTGAATTGGGTATGAGGAGAGAACGAAATCAACCGCAAGAAGATCACATTCAAAATTAATGTGCAGCATATTCACACTGGATAAATCATCCTCACTCAAACCGGTGTGATGAAGCAAAGATTGTTGAAACATATGTGATGGGCACAGATTACCTAAATTGGAAGTTGATGCCGAACGTTTAGAATCATTTGTCAAGTCATCGAACGTTTATAAATTCATTGAGGAATCGATTAAAAGCGAATGAAATTTAGTGTAATTTATCAAACAATGGAGCATATTTTGGATCATCAATAAGCATGCATAACTGCTGAAACAATTATGGCGAAAATTCGACTATGCACTCAGAGGATTCTGTGATTCAACCAACAAGTGTTTATTAAGTTTCGGGATGAAATAAAAGAAATCAAGTAAAATCAGCCTCGAGTTTTCCCGGGACAACTCAAATTTATTGAATTGAAAATAGCGTTTGATTTTCTGTTGAATGGTGAATGCTAGTGTCACAACACATCAGTGCTTGCCTTGCTCTGAAATTGTGTCCGGCGCTGAAGGTTTTACTTTGTTAGATTGAATTGCGAGAAGTGGTGAGAGTCTCTATCGTTACAACCACTGTATTTGTGTTTTTTTTACTGAAACATTTGTTTCATGTTGGATATCATATGTAACGATTGTAGCTCGGGAGTCGACGCCACCACCAACGTCTTTCATGTAAGTCAATTCATGTTTTGTATGGAATCAGTGTCCCGCACCACCAAACAACCATAAACGCTCTGTTTCACCCGGTGTTTTGAGCTCAAAACGGACCTTTTCCGATCCGTCAGTTGCACTATGGCTCAATTCTATGCGGAAGGATGATTAGATTTGAAGTGGCTGTGTATAGCTGTCGCATGAGAGGAAGTTCGAGTTGTTACAAAAACAGAGGTTATTTCAACATGATTATAGAATGCTAGGGTATTGTTCGGGTGAGTGACATGGTATGCACTGTTAACTGGTAATATTTGGCAGTATTGGTGTTTTAACAAATTCTTATACGTCTGACCGCATCGAAATTCTTCGATTTGATCTTCAGAGCGTGACTGTGGACTTCCTCCGAACATTCCACAAGCCAAACTGGTCTACAATTCCACAACATTTGGCAGTCGTGCTGTTTTCCAGTAAGTAGACAAAAAAAGCACTTCAAACGTGCGACCGACTTAATTAAATGAATGATTTTAACTTCAGCTTTTTCAGTATTAAACAGTTTTATCATAATTCGTTTTCATCAAAAATAGATTTAAGGTTTAACGTTGAATAAACCGTTTTCAAGCATTATTCCAGCACTCCCTGAACGAAGAAAATCTGCTGCTCGTGAAGTAGTTAATTCGAAAGAGCGCTTTTCTTATTGTAGCCTGTAGATGATTTTGGGATACCACTATAACTAAAGCTTCTTACCAAACGCAACGTGCTATCTAACTCTTGTCAAAACAACTAAGGTTCGGGGCCAACTCTATTTCTCTTGCAATGTACAGAATCACATGGATTCAGCATAATCTCGATTAGAAGTAGAACCATTTGGTTTCAGTGGAAACTATTGCGATGAACGAGAGTAAGTGTACTAAACGGCCATTTCGTCCGGTTTGAAACACGTCAGCCGAGGCGAATGTTTTGAGTCTCGGTCATGATTCGAACCGTGAGCTTTCTGGTTGGGAGTGATCACATGAAACCCTGAGCTGCAAATACAACGGTCATGTGCTTGGCTCATTCAACATTCAAGGGGGATGTTAAGATTAGCCCACTCGGTTCACGCAGTCACTAGGCTGTTTTCATGATCCCAGGTGTTGATCTGTCTTCGTGAGAAATTCATCAATTTCTTACTAGTTAAAAGCATTTGAATGCCATGGAAATGTCTGTGATGACGGCGGCTGCGCAGAACTGGACAAATGTTGTACCGTGTTTGAGACTATTCAGCGATAGCTCGTACCTTTGAGTTAGCTAATCAAAACACTCACCGTATAGTGTGTTTTTCATTCAGGTCGGAGTTAGATTGTAGTGCACGTACGTTTCATCAACTAGCTAGGACAAATCATGATAGATACGGTTACTGTGATGTAAAGCAAAGTTGTGGGATTTTAACCACTTTATTTCGTTAACTCGTATTACTCGCCGTCTGTTCACATTGGATTTAGATAACTCACTTGATTTTCCTCTACCGCATGCGGTTCGATCGATCACGACTCGAGCGTTGATTCAGTGCTTTGCGCCAAGCCGAGTTACACAATTATATCATGAACGCATCATGATGCCCGTGTGTTTTCCTCAACCCTGTAGCTGTGCGCCAGATACCACACCATCCATAACCGAGCCGACATTGATCTGTGGATCCGCGAACAATCACACTGTCTGGTTGCCCAGACCCACACCTCGATGTAACCGTCATTGTTACCTGTTTACCGTGGATCAAGGTGATGTGGTTTTGATGCATAAACCGAACACCAGCGAGCAAGTCCTGATCCCAATCACAGCGGATTCCTACGAGAGCTTCACTAAACTGGACACACGAGGCTCTTTACCGTCCACTGACGGAATTATATTACCCGGGAGTAGAGTGCGTCACAATGCCCAACTGAATGTGAGCTGCCATTCCGGTTATCAGTTGGCTCAGCTCAAAATGTCTGTTACCACGTGCAAAGATGGTGTGTGGAGTATTCGAAGCAAGTGCGTTCCAGGTGGGTATTAATCGATTCGTGGAGAATGAATGGTAGAACGTTTATTGATCATTTTTGCTGTCACATCATAGGTGTTCTTAGCCGGTCTAATTGAAACAGGCTGACACTGTACGTGGTTCAACCGTTCAAGCTGATTCTCGTTCAACTTGACCGGCTATCCGAATTCACACATTAAAATCCTTCATTTAGTGCATTAAAATGTGATATCCATAACAGTGAATGAACTGGGTAATCTCTGCTAGTTTACGTTCATCTTTCTTTTGTACTAATAGGGTGAACGTTTCTCATCATATTTGAACCCAGCTTAGAATTAAATGTGTTTTTCCGGCCCAGTTGTTTCGTGTTCCAGTGGGTTTTTTCCATTCAAATGTAACATTTACAGAGGAGTAAGTTTTTTAATGACCAGAAGAAGGCCCAACTAGAAATGGAGCACATTTTGAGAGAACATTATCTCGCAGATTTAATTCTGTTAATTAGTCGCAGAATCCATACCTGACTAGTATATTGCAGAATGAAGCTGAAGTGAGCCAAGGATGACAAGAATCAGGACACAAAACAATTTGAACATTGACATCAAACCCCAGAGAAAACACGGGTCACTAGATGTTTCAATTCGGTTCCATCTTCTCAATGGTTGACGTAAAACAAACAGGCACATATATAGAGCATTTGGATGGTAAATCGTCAAAAACGAACGTTTGCAGACAGATAGATAGGGGCATTTGAAAATGAAAGGTAATGGGTCAAATCCAAGGCAACTACACCGATGGTGTTACTAAATTTTGAGCGCACAAAATGTGTTAGTGTAATCTGATTATTTGCCAATAATTGCAAACACTATTGTAATGCGGTTACGTAATGATATTTTAAAAGAGGAGTGGGATCAATTATATGCTTCGTTATCATGGGTTTTGCAATTGATGACCTCGGTTTCCTTGTGATCGCCTGATTATCGGGCCAGAGTTGTGTCACTTACATCACTAACCACTTTGGAAAATGTCCAGTCATTCGTTGTGATAATTGACGGTTGGCTCGGTTTACGTTTCAAGTCAAGTCAAGAAGCGGCTTTATTTCTCCCTATAGGGGATGAACATTCAGCTAGTACGCAATCCCTCTTCTCTGGAAATTACATGGTAACAAAACGTATGGTGATACGTTACATATACAAAAAGCCAATTTAGCAAAGATTTTGTCTAAGAGTTCCAATGACAAGATCAGCGTTGGTAAGAAACCGTGCCAAGTATAGTATTATAGAAGACTTGTATGTAGTGGTGCGTGCTGCCATATGGTTATACATGGAACGAGTGCTAGATGTGGAGATACACTGACTAAGATGAGGGTACAGTGGGTGAGATGGGTCAAATACTATTCTGGTAGAAAGTTTCTGGCAAGCCCTAAGGTGCTGTGAAATAAATTGCACAACATACTCAAGGGATATTCCGCTGTATCGACATACGTGGTTGATGGATGTGCGTATGAGTTTGAAGTCTTTGATTAAAAGACCCGGAAAAATAACAGGGGATGCATAAAGCCAGTGGGGAAGGATACAAGAGAAGACGAATGCTTTATTAAGTGAGTTGGGGTAGATAGCATCTTCAAACGAAGAATGTAAAAGGTGAGTTTTCTGACTTTGTGAAATGTCTCGACGACATGAGAAGACCAAGAAAGATTGCGGGAAATGGTGACCCTAAGATATTTGACGGAGCATACTCTGGAAATATCTTCACCATTGATAATGACATGCTGACAAGAGTTCATCACGTCAAAAATAAAACATCATTACACTTGGAAAGATTCATTCTAAGATTGTGTTGTGAAGACCAGTCGGTGAACAGTGAAATATTCTTCATAAGTTTGGGGTACACGGAGGAGTTCGAAAACATCATGCCATGTACAACGTCATTGGCATACTTAATGAGCAGCCAATCATCAAAAGTAGGCATTGAAGAAATATAAGTTGTGAACAAGAAGGGAGAGAGAATAGCGCCTTGAAGAACTCCTTGAGAGGAGGGTAAAAGTGAAGAGTTACGACCCTTATATTTGGTAAACTGTGATCGATGGGTGAAATAATTACTTAACAGATTGGTCAGCTCCGGCTGAATGCCTTTCTCAGAAAGAGTGTGAAGACGTTTGGACCTATCAACACAACTAAAGGCATCACTATAATCAAATAAACATACAGGAACAGCTTTACATTTCCTGTCCAAAGAGAAAGAGATATAATGAATAAGGGATGCCAACGCATCAATGGTTGACCTGGAACTGCGGTAGGCAAATTAATTGGGATCAGGTGCATTCAGCTGGGGCAGCATATTTTGTAGTAAAATCTTTTCCATGACTTTCAAACCGACAGAAGTGCAAGCAATCGGGAGAAATTTGGAGGATCCCTTTTTGGGTACTGGTGTGATAAAAGCCACTCTCCAGCAGTCCGGAATGCAATGTTTAGTAAAACAGAGGTTGAGTAGATTGATGAAAACAGGGGAAAGGGAGGCTGCACATTCTTTGAGCACAACAGGTGGCAGTCCATCAGGACCGCATGCTTTATTAGCCCTCAGGTTGATGAAGGTTTTGAATACTTCAGTTTGATCAGTACTTAAATTACCAACATCAGGAGAGGGGGCAACTGCTGTGAATGGAATAGGGGTATCGGTTTCAGCATTGTTGAACTGGCGGTTGATATCGTTCACATTGGCAGCTGGAACATTCCCCTTCGCTTTGAGGCCGCAGAACTCAAACATCATTTTACATGTATCCCGACACTTTCTGTTTGCCAGCAGTGCATGCACATAAGCGGCGTTTACTCTCCGCAGTTCAGCCTTGATTGCTTTCGAGCGGTCTCTCATCAAAGGATACCTTTTTCCCTTGAAAAAGTACGTTTGCGTCGCCCTAACTGCAAGTGAACTACTATACAGTGTATGAGATGGAATTGGATTGCAAACCATGTATACATTTGTTCTTTCATCCGATCATCGAGATCACACTTGAAGGGTGTGTGTGAGGGTGGGTTGGGGAAACTTTAGAGCTTGCACAAATTGTTTTTGGGCACACAGAGGGGGGTTATGCAGACGAATACCCACCGCTTCTGCTGTAGCCAGCATTCGACAGCAAACCTGACTCGATAATCGCCCACGAACTTTATACAGGGGTTGGAAAGCCTCGGACACGTCTACAGTGTGATTATTTTTAGCTAGATGGGAAACCACTGCATTGGTGAGTGACTTAATCGTCCCGGTGTTCAGTCAAGCAGGGCGGCGTTCACGAATCTGTTCGAACAATTGCCTGACCGTGCGGCCTATGTACGTTGTTCTACAGGAACATGCAAATGAGTATACACAGAATGAGACCTCAGAGTTTGGAACTTTGTACTTCAGTTGAAGACACACAATTGGCTTGGACGTGAAAAACACACGAAGCTTGGATGTAAAGAAAGTCTTATGGATTGCGTCAAATAATCTTCTTTGTATGATCTCAGCTGATGTGTCCCTTTTAACGGCAAAGAAAAAAATCCGTGTACATTTCTTTGCCGTTCAAAGGGAACACATCAGCTGAGATCATTGAAAAAAGATTATTGGACGCAATCGTAAGACATGTCCGAGGCTTTCCAACCCCTGTATAAAGTTCGTGGGAGATTATCGAGTCAGGTTTGCTGTCGAATGCTGGCTACAGCAGAAGCGGGGGGCATTCGTCTGCATAACCCCCCTCTGTGTGCCCAAAAACAATTTGTGCAAGCTCTAAGGTTTCCCCAACCCACCCCTCACACACACCCTTCAAGTGTGATCTCGGTGATCGGATGAAAGGACAAACAAATGTTTGATCATGGTGAGCCTGATTTCCGGTCTTACAATCATATCGTATCTAGTAATGCGTGATTTTATTCTTGTTTTATTTTTCCAAGAAAACTTTATTCGCAAGTAGT